GAAGCTATTTTTGTAAAAATAGAACACCCCTCACTAAATGGGGGTGGTGGACTAAGACACAACTTGTCTTCCATCTACAATCCTGTTTTGAGATCTCTGCCCAAACATGCCCACCAGGACAATAGGCGTCGGTCGACAGGGGAGGATTCAAAGACAGGTAATGACTCTCACCGATACTGGGCTGCAACGACTCAGTCGTTAAGGGACATTGTTGGCCTTCAAAGGACTGAAACCACACCGAGGGGGATAAATATCTTCGGCTCAACACCAGTCAGTCAGAACTGATGAAGCCTCTTGGATGAAAGGTGAAACGTCTTCGACCTAGAAATCTAAGTCCAGTTGATTTTTTTTCTAAGTTTTTTCAGTTTTCTGTAGGAGCTGGTTTCTTCACTGAGTTTGAGACGACTCTAACCTATTGGAAAAAGTCCCGTGTAGTCAGGCTTGCTGCCTCAGGGAGCCGTGATGTGTAGCTAACTGTCTGTGTTATGAGAATAACGGTGTCACCAGCTTACAGTCAGATAGATGAATCTAGGATCTCCTCTCAGCTACTGTATTTTTTGTAGGTGTGGTGCACAATACCTGGTATGGATCTTACTACCTTGTACTGGACCAGTTTTTTCTCTTAATCACCTTCAGTAGCACCCCCTCTCCAGATTTCATAGTTTTGATTTGCAGCTCCACTGGTCCTCCTGGAATAGAACTAGTACAAACAACTTCTTGTATGTTAGCATTTTATGTCATATACTCTTCCAAGGCTTGTTCAGCCTCTTAATCTGGACACTGGAAAGGTTTTAATTGTTAAATAATGTAAGGTTTTACACATGAATTCAAAAGGTCAGTGCTGTGGGAATTACAAATGTGCAGGAGTATTAATGGTAGACAATAAATCCTGTTCTTTCCAATTTCTTCCCTTTTTCCTCAGTTGTGCTTTAAGAGTGCCATTCTGTCTTCCTACTAACCTTGCAGGTTGTGGATGATATGCATGTTTCAGGTCTATGTGTAAAGTTTTGGACTAACAATGATATTGCACAGGGTACAACTTGAGTTCCATTGTCACTATATAATTTTCAGGTATTCCACATCTGGGGATTATTAGTTGTGGGAAACACTTCAATGTGTCTATTATTACCAGGCAGAATTTCTTTCCCTCCCACTTGTTTAATTTTATGGAGTCCATGCAGATGTGTTGAAATGGAAGTAGTGGTTTTGGAAACTGACCTCTTTTAGTTCATAAGTTTTCTCTTGCATTGTGGCAAGCCCATATTGTATGGTTAACATAAAAATTGTTGGAGTAGTTTGAAAATTTATATGCTGTAAACACTTTGTCTAGCATGGCTGTCCCTGTCCCTATCTATCTCCCCCTTTCTGAGACATGACTTTGTCCATGTCTCAAAAGTCCTTTTGGGAGAATGTCCTGTGGACAGATGAGACAAAAATAGAGCGTTTTGGTTGAGCACGTCATTCTACTGTTTTCAGAAAACAAAATGAACATGGGCCTTATAGTCAAACACAGTGAAGGTTCACTGATGTTTTGGGGTTGCTTTGCTGCTTCAGGCACTGGATGTCTTGACTGTGTGTACGGCATTATGAAATCTGAAGACTACCAATGAATTCTGGGTCACAATTTAGGGCCCAGTGTCAGAAAGCTGGGTCTCCATCAGAGGTCATGGGTCTTGCAGCAGAATACAAAAGAATTTGATTGCAACAGTTTTCTGGGAGAAGTGGTGCTTTATCTGACAGAAATCCAGGGGTGCCAGTATTTCTGTCCATGACTGTGCACAGTGTAGGCAACCTGTGGTAAAATAACACAAACTGCACACACTTCAAAAAGAACTGTGTGCTCAGTAGGACTGATGTAATAGACATTCTTCTGTTTTTATTACATGTATTTGCAGAAGTATACATATTGCACTTTATTTTAGTTAATTTTCAAAGTTTAAAATTTTTAACTAATTGTTTAAATTGAGTTGCAGAACATAATTTAGAGACAGTTAGCATGGATGTGTGCAAGGGTTTCAGTGAAATTAATAAATTGGAACCTGAAAAGGATGACGAATTCTCAGGTGTATTTTAATCTGAGAAACCATTTTCTGCCATTAGATCTTTGGCCACCAACACTTTAATCTCTTTGCTCCAGATACCAGGGGCTCTTCACAAAGGAGTGAGTGACAAGCTGGCCAGCCTTGCACAAGGGGAGCATCCTGATGTGACTGGTAAATGACAAATCAACACAAACATCAGTCTTCTTTAAATACCAGATTACTACTGTAAGACGGTGTACATTGTAGCATGGTACTGTACCTCACTTGGCTGTAGCTGTTACTGTATAGCTGCAGGTTTCACTTTAAAAACACTTTCACCCTGCGTTTGTTGTAGTAATAGTTGTGATTTTTTTCACTGCAGTACCACCAAGTGTCTAATAGTGATAAAAGATTTTATTTACATGGTGCTTTTAGAGGCATTCAAAGATGCTTTAAGTCTGGTTAGTATTTGTAGTTACAGATGTCTGAAAAACCAGTATTATTGTTTCTGTTATGGCTTATTAGGTAGTAGTAATAATAATAATACTGCTATATTGTTTCCAAAAGTCTGGTCTGGAATACAGAGGAAAAGCACAAGTGTCTTCAACATGCAGGATTTTTTTCACCATGGTATCTGTGTTGAATTTTGTACAGATGTGGATCATTGAAAGTTTTCCTGAAAGATGCTGTCACAGGTCAGGGTCAAAGTGTTTATCTGTCATATGCACAGTTAGGAAATGTGTTTCCCTGTACAATGAAATTCTTACTTTGCCGTCCACATGAATGCCACAAAATGCAAATGAAATATAAAGTAGATAAATAAGTAACACTAAATCTAAGGCACTTTAAGCAGCAAATGCTGTCACAGTCGATTATCATTGCATAACACTTAAAAAAACAAAAAATCACAGAACATTCGATAACTTCATTTAGTGAATTGAAAATGGCCAGCTGTGTCACATTTAAACACATGAGATTGTAATAATGGCAAATGGAGGTAGAGCAGGTTGTCTCCTAACCAGAAGGTTGGCGGGTCTGTTCCCAGCTTCTCTAGTCCACATGTCGAAGTGTCCGTGAGCAAGTCGCTGAACTTTAAGTCACTCCTGGTGATATCACCAGGGTGTGTGTGTGTGTGTGTGTGTGTGTGTGTGTGTGTGTGCACGCTTGGGAGTGCGACTGGGTGAATGGGCAAATGGTGTGAAAGCGCTTTGTGTGATGCAGTGCGCTATACAAGTATAAGTTCATTCACCTTCCATTCAGATAAACAATTTCACAGCATTTATATGGCAGTATCAGACCGGACCCTGGCCAAGAAATACGGCATTCGTAAACTGATGAGATTGTTACTGCTTCTTTGCAGTGTTAACAGAATAAATTGTTAAACATTATCCGGAGTTCCTTCCCTATTAACCCCTTTTTTCTTACATCCTTCAGGCTCTCCCATTTATCAACAGGCTTCCAGCAGGATTTGCACTGACTCTACAAAGAAGACCACCAACCAGGAGTTGTGGGCTCTGCTGAACAGCATCCATCTGGACACCAAGATCTCAGTCAAAGAGAGGAAGCGCCTGCTCCGACAGTTTAACCAGGCCCACCCAGAGATATTTAACCAGTACTTTGGTGATACTGCACTTAGTATGCTATAGATATATGAAAGCGGTGATAAAGGCACATAGCCTTGTGGAGCTAATGTCCTCTGTCAGTTTCAGCTGTTTTTGGTTGTTGCATTTGAGGTAACTATTTAGTCAGTTTACAAGCTAGCTTCCGTAAAAGAAATGCTTATCTGATGTATATGGGACTGCATGATTTCCTTTGTGTGTGTATTTGCTTTAATATTGAAGAAAATAAAACATACAGTACATGTGTATATACTTTTTCTTAAATATAGAACAAATGTTATATTCCTGTGATTAGGCTTGAATGTGTTTTTTCCTTTTAAAATTTTTTTTTTTTTTATGGCTGTGAGGGTGTAAACACAACACGTAACTGAATAAAGGAAGCAAAATTTGTGCAAAATAGAATGGCCCCTGCTTAAAAAATAAAAAAAAACAGGTGCTACAACAAAATGTTAAGATAATTGAGTATTTTCGCAGTTTATAGATATAATGTACATTTCCTGATGCATTCAATCTGTGTATATTTAATCTTGTCAAAATCTTGAAAAACAGTGATAGAATTTACTATTGTTAGTCACAAAAAAGTGTGGTCTTGTGAAAATTCTCTACTGAATTCTCCTGGACACTGGTGATTTGACAATTTATGAAGCTTTGAGTGCAATGTTTAGTTAACCCAGCTCAGTTTGGTCACAACCAGATTTAATTTTGATACATCATACTTCACTACATTTAAGGTAGGTAGGTAGGTACTTTATTGATCCCTCAATGGGGAAATTTCAGTGTTTCAGCAGCAATGGAGAACAAACAACATAACACCATGAGTAACAAACACCACCCACATATCTTGATAAACAAATTTCAGTACCTCAAGCAGCAATAGAGAACAGACAGCATAACACCATGAGAACAAGCACTGCACACACATCCTGATAAATAAATTCCAAGTACTCAAAAATAGACAGAATCAAGTATTTGAATAATCAAGAACAGAATTTACATATGTGCATATTAACCATGCATTTTACCCCAGGATTTGAGTATTGCAACTCAGTTGACTATTACATAGTCCCTCATACTTTCACCTAGCTTATCCCTGCAGTGATGTGTTGTACAGTCTGATTGCTGTGGGGAGGAACAACCTACGGTAACGCTCCTTCTTACACTGGGGATGTAACAGTCTTGCGCTAAAGGAACTGTTCAGAACCACCACTGTGTGGTGCAGGGGATGGGAGGGATCATGCATGATGGATGTTAGTTTTACCAGCATCCTTCTGTCCGCCACCTCTTCGATGGAAGCCAGGGGGCAGCCCAGGACAGACCCAGCTTTCTTAACCAGCTTGAGCCTCTTTCTGTCTCTGACCGTGCTACCTCCCACCCAGCCCACAACAGCGTAAAAAACAGCAGATGCCACCACAGTATCATAAAAAGTCTGAAGGAGTGCCCCCCACACACCAAAGGACCTCAGTCTTGTTAGGTATTTTTTAGTCAGATAGATATTGGTTAGATACTTGCTGTATTAGAAATGTTTAGTGGAGACAGGATGTCTAGATAGGCTGTTAAATGCTTAGTCATTCTCATGAGTTTCTTGCAGGGTGCATTATGGTCAAGGACAACTAGATAGAAAAAGTTTGATTGTCAGCAGGCAGGAGGATTATTGTTATTATTATGATATGTTTAGCCGTAATCTTAATCATAATATCTTCCTAGGCTTAATGTCAGGACATGTCCTTGAATGTCCTGTATGTTCTTAGATACACACCACATAATCAACACTCACACACATTGATTTTCTCCATGTTTGACTACTGCTACGGTCAGCTGTAAAGCTGGCATATCAGGTGATGCCACGGTTTGACGTCGCTGTGTAGAATGGGGTTAGCCCAAACCAGATATAATGTACAGGCCTGTTGGGTTCAGCGTCTTTCATTCTCTGTCTGCCTGCGCGCAGTATTGGAGGTGGAAGATGCCTGGACATGTAATGTTAATTTTACCTGTGATCCTTTGAATAAACCAGCACGGTTTTTTGTATCAACTTGGACCGCCTCACCATCTCTTTAGTCTTACTGGTGTTCAGGACCAGTCAATTTTCCTCACACCACTCCAAAAAGTCAGTAACAACCCCCCTGTAATCCCCCCCTCAGAGAACTTTTGTAGGTGACAGTGGTGGGAGTTGTACTTGAAGTCTGACGTGTAGAGGGTGAACAAAAAGGGGCAAAGCACCGTCCCCCAGGGCACCCCCGTGCTGCAGACCACCATATCCAACACACAGTCACGCAACCTGACAAACTGAGGTCTGTTTGTGAGGTAGTTAATGGTCCATGCGGACAGGTGTTGGTCCACACCTGCTCCCTCCAACTTCCCCCTCAGCAATGACGGCTGGATTGTGTTGAAAGCACTGGAGAAGTCAATGAACATGACCCTCACCATACTTCCGGGAGACTCCAGATGAGATAGGGCTTGATGCAACATGTAGATAATGGCATCATCAACCCCGATGCCAGGATGGTATGCAAACTGCAGCAGGTTGAGCGCCGAGCTCACCTGGGCACAGAGGTGGCTGAGGACAATCCTCTCCATGGTCTTCATCAGGTGGGAGGTCAGGGCAACGGGTCTGTAGTGGTTCGGCTCCTTAGGATGAAGTATTGTGGGAACCGGGACAACACAGGATGTCCTCCATTGGGGTGGGACTCTCTCCAGGCTAAGACTCAAGTTAAACATGTACAGGACACATACTGTATATTTAACTGCACTTCGTGTATTTGTTTCCTTTTAGAAATATGTTAAAGTACAGTGTAGTAATAAGACTGATAAAAATTCACAAGCTACCCAGCAGCATTTAAAGTAGACTAATTCACATTATACAGTCAGTACGGGAAGTTTTCAGACCCTTTCAAGTTTTCCACATTTTGTTATGTTTCAGCCTCATCGGGTACAGGAAAAATGCTGGAAAGTCTGAACAGGAGTTAGAACGATCTGGCAGCTTCTTAGTGTGGGGAAGCTGCCTATATGCAGTTGTAACCAGGTGTGAGTAATGAGAAGCAGGTGAAACCAATGTGGGTGGTGAGATAAAGTACCCGGAGTCAAGGTGAGCTGGGGACAGGAAGTAGTGTCAAAATAAAAGCATGAGACTGGAAGCAGGTGGGACAGAATCATGGAAATAAATTGATACTTACCTGTTCCAGATGTTCAGATGTCATCATCCACCCATCTCTTCCCCTCTCCTCTACCTGTTTATTTCTTTTTTGTTTTGTCATCCTTTCATATTACTTTTTGTTTCTCCTCTCCATTCTGTCTAAATGAATCAAACGTCAGACTTAATGGAATAATGTTTAAAAACTCAGTCAACTTGCGAGCTGATATCTTCATAACATCAACAACAACAACAACAATGGATAAATTGATACTTACCATGTCCATGAGAGGGCTCACACTTTATCATATGCTTTCTGTTTGGCCTTTGCCACCTCCCTCTTCATTCTACGCTGCAATTTCTTGTAATCCTGTCTACTGTCTTCAGTCCTTTCTATGTCCCACTTCTTTCTAGCTAGGTCAGAGGTCAAAGTGTTTATTTGTCATATGCACAGTTAGGAAACATGTTTCCCTGTACAATGAAATTCATATTTTGCCATCCACATGAATGCCACAAAATACAAGTGAAATATAAAGTAGATAAATAAGTAACACAAAATCTAAGGCACTTTAAGCAGCAAATGCAGCAATATAATAAAATATATAAGAATATAACAGAGAATGTATGCTGCATGGGAGCAGCATGTGCAGCAGTCAACAGTCAATGTGCAATTATGCATGTGCAAACTGAGAATGTAAACAGTACA